CCCCGCTCTGCTGGCAGCGGCCCTGCTTCTCCATCTCTGGCCACTCTATCCAGCTGCAGTCCTGAACTGCTGCTGAAGGTTTCGCTGGAGCCAGATTCCGATTCAGAAGGAGGCTCTGAATGATGTAGTGCCTCCATCTCTGTATCATGCATATACATTGCAAAGCGACAATGATCAGCCTAGCCTCCCTCCTCAATCCACCGAAAAGTGGACACAAAGCCGATACGCTTGTCGTCTTACCGCATTGTCGTAGCAAAAGAACGAGAGGTAGCAGCAGCAGTAGCACTTGTATCTGTATAATATTAGTAAGATAGCAGTTGGATTTTTTTACCAGTCCCGAAAGCTTGGATTTGCGACCAGGTCGAGAATCATAGTCTTCTAGTGACACTTAAAGTAGTTGTCGTTTTCGTCGTGCTGTTGCTGTAGGTAGTGGTCGTGAAGCTTGGAGAATGGAAGAAATAAGGGTACAATACTGAATATGGAACTGGTAGTGGTAGTAGTTGTAGTAGTAGTCGTCGTCGTCGTCGTCGTCGTAGAAGCAGTGGTAGGTGGCGGTAGTGTTGCTGCTGGCGGTGTTGGTAACGGTGCTGGTGCTGGGGGCGGTGGTGATGCTGGTGGTGGCAGTGGTGGTGGTGGTGGCGGTGGCAGTGATGTTTTTCCCGGTGGCGGTGGTTGGTGATGCTGCTTCTGCCTGTGGCGGTGGTGGCAGTGGCGGTAGTGGGCGGTTCCGGTACTGCCAGGTGGGGTTACAAGTGATGGAGGCCCCAAGTCGACAAGCCCAGTCAGGCTTATGCTCTTGTGCTTTTCCATTTATATAAACTAGAGCAGGGGGGCATTTTCCAACTGTTAGTGGGCCGGGGCTGCACCCAACATATACCCCATCCCTCTCCTTCGAACTCTCCGGCTCGCCGCGCAGCGAGGCCCTCGGGATGCTGGGGCCCGGGCCTCGGGCTGCAGGTAACGGCCGGGGCGACGAGATCCTTTTCCCAGCCTTTTCCCTAGCGACTCTTGCCTTGGATGACAAAGGACCCCAATATCGGACATCAAGAGCTGCCTAAACCCTCAAAACCCTAGAAAAACACACCCCATGGATTCAGCTGTTTCGGGAGCATCTCAGGCAACTGCGAGGCCAGCTGCTCTCGAAAGCTGCTCTCGCGGTCCTCGGCCACTGAGGTTCGGGCATAAACAGCACTGGTCATCGCTGCAGTTGTCGGCATTGCAACGATTATCTCCATTTTTGCAGTTACTACGGTTGTTAGTATTCTTACCATTCTTTCGGCCACTACTACTACTACTACTACTACTACTACTACTACTACTCAGTACTACTCCTGCTGCTGCTGCCGCTACTACTGCTCGACTACGACTGCTACGACTACTACGACTACTACTACTGCTGCTGCTACTAGTGCGACGACGACTACTACGACGGCTACGACGACGACTGCTACTACTACTATTACTAATTATTTCTATCACTGTTGCTATGGCTATTGCTGTTACCATTACCTGCTACGACTACTACGACTACTACTACTGCTGCTGCTACTAGTGCTACGACGACTACTACGACGGCTACGACGACGACTGCTACTACTACTATTTGATGATGATTTGATGATTGCGGACTGTCGAGTCGCTAACGACGCGTCCCAAAAATTTACGAATTCGCGGTGAAACAATGAAAGGCCCTGTTTCGCCAGAAGGCCCCAGACGATTGCCGGGGTCCTTCTGAGGAGCGCTCCGCAATATACTGCTCTATCCATTCTAGGTCTGCGGGGTCTGGCTGGAACACCTTACGCAGATCCGAGAGGGCACAACTCTCATCAAAATAGTCTACTCCCTCCATGCGCTCTGAAGCCGTAGGGGTGCGAGGACCGAAAAAGATGGAGCGCTGCCTCACTCCCTTGTAGCTGGCCCACTGTCCTTGCCGGACACGTCGTGCCAATTTTTGTTCCTCAAATTCCACGGAACGGATCTGGGGAGTGGTAAGGGGTGGAAAGAGCAGGCTGACTCTGCGTAAGCAGGCGGGGTAGCGCTTGAGGTGAAAGTTAACCTGGGAAGCTGTGCCATACCAGACATGGCAGGCGTGGCAATACACATCCAAAGTGTAGTGCCGAGTGGGGCTCCAGGTCTTGTGGGCCTTGGCCATGTGGGCACCCAGGTGCTTCCGAAGTAGGAAGCAGGCGGAGCAGAGTGGACACTGGTGGGGTCTCGCCGACCCCGTCTGGTCCGTGTCCTCCTGCGGCACTGCAACGGAAGGGCAGCCCTGCTGGTGCCAGGCTGCGAGATCGCGCTGGAAGACCTTGCATGCCTTCTTGACCTGACTAAGCCACCAGCCGGGTTCTTCTTGCAGCGCATCAAGGAGCGTGGCCACACGGGAGGAAACAGAGAAGAGCGGGGCCAAGTCCGGCCGGTATTGGAGGACAAGGTCAATGTCCGCCTCAATCTGTTGAAGCCATGAGCTCTTGGGGTGGGCAAGCCAGTGCTGCCAAAGTTGAAACCGGAGAACGGCCGGGCCGTGCCTGGTGAGCTGCCGAAGAAAGTTGGCACGTGCCTGTGCTAAAGCCAGTGGCGGAGACGGCGCCTCCGCGACCCGGAGCACTTCAAAGGAATGTGCTTGCTTGTCCGCCGAAGTGCGAGGCAGCAAGGGACGCCAGAGATCAAGAAATGCTCGGTCCCATAATTTTTCATGTGTCGCCGCCGTAAGGATAACCGCAGCGCTGGAATGTACAAACCTCGACACAGCAAGCGACCTTAACAGGAGCACCCGGGTGCGCAAGGGCACAGCCTTGTTGCCAAAAAGCTTAGACTTGAGTGGCTTGATAACACTCTGAGCCCTGAGCTGTATGTCAGGCTGTGGTCTGGTGGAGGACGTCAGAATGTGGCCCAAGTGCTTGTAGGCCTCAACAATGGGAACATGGTGCGACTCCCCGGAAAGCCTATCAGCCACAACAAAACCAACGCCAAGCTCAGGATCAACCTTAGCTCCATGCTGCAACCAATCCACACCACAAGGAAAGAGGGCCGCCGTCTTGTCCGCGGCGTAAGTAAGCCTCATCCCGATCGCCGTTGCAACTTCCTGAACTACCCGCGCCGTCTGTTGAGAAGACTCAAGCAATTGTCGCGGACCTCGTCCGGCAATGGGTGACACGAAATCGTCCGCCCACGAAGGAAGGCCAAGGCCTGTGGTACCGACAACGGACGCCCATGGGTGGGTGGGCCCTTTGACCGCGGCCTCTGGTAGGAGATCTAGGTCCTTGAGGCGGGCCTCCACCGACTTGACAAAGGCCGCAAAAACCAAGGAGAAGATGACGTCGGCAGCCGGATCACCCGGTCTGGAGCCTTTGCGCGTGAGCGTGACGACATCATTAAATCCTATGGTGAACCAAGTCGCCTGCAGCATGTCATTTACAACAGCGGCAAGGTGCTCACTCGCTCCAAAGTCCGGCAAGATGGCAAGCGTACGGAGTTGCCGAGTCAACTCCTCCATGGCGGACGGAGGCAAGCCCAGCCTGTGAATGAGCCGGCAAAGCTCTGTGTCAGAAGCCTCAGTGGTGAAGAGTGTCTCGCGAACAACTCTGTAAAAGGCCGCCTGTAGATCGTAAAAGATCCAAGACCAAAGTCCAGCACTATGGTGGCGGCTAGCTTGGAAAGTGCGCACCAAGAGAGAGATCGCTTCGATGCCCACTCCGGGCACAGTCCCAGCCTGAGTGGGACTGCCGTGTGCCTGAAGGAGCGGGATCAGGCGGTTACGGGTGGCTCTGTGGAGAATCTTGCCCGGAGTGGAAGCAAGGAGGATAGAACGAAACTGCTGGCACCTAAGTGCCGCACCGGCTTTCTTGGCTAAACAGTGGAGCGATCCTCCCCTGAAGGCCAGGGGCTCACAGACCGAGATTGACGACTTGACCAGGATCGGAAACAAATGTCTGGCAGAGTGAACCGGCCAGAGCCGGAGAAGGTCACTCGTGATACCATCTGGGCCTGGGGCTTTGGCCTTCTTGAGACCCATAATGATTTGCTCTATCTCAAAGAGGCTGGGCACATCATTGATGTCGAAGGGCACGACATCACGGCTGAGGCGGTCCTGAAGTGTAGCGAGGTAGCCGACGGAGTCCATGGGCTCCCCTGCCTCTTGGGCACTGAAGTGCTGTCGCCATCCTTCTGTTTTCTCTTCCTGAGTAACAGCCAAAACCCCTTTTGAAGGAAGGATGAGCGAAGGAAGGGGCGTAAAGGAACTCCGTCGTGCGGAACGCGCGGAAGGGAACGCCTTTCGCACGGCCCGATACAGGGCCTTCGGATCACTAATCTGGCTTTCGCAGACAAGAGTAACGAGCCCCTGCAAATAGGTGGTCCTGTCCGTTCGGACCGCCCGACGGGAGGCTGCAACAAAGTACTTCAGAAGGGCAACCGCGCGAGCCTCGCTCCAGTCCATCTGCCATAGCCACTGGTCCGCAGCCGCCGCACCCTGCGGGGAAAATGTGGCGCCGTTCCAAAGCAGAACAAATGAAGCAAAGGCAATAATCTTGAGCCTGTGTTCACGTTCGCGGGCTTCCCGACGCAGGTACGCCCTCAGGGCTCTGCAGGTGTCGATAAGGGCAAGGGAATCAGGGCTGATGTGAGGCTGCGTCAGCTGTCTTGCCGGAGCATCATCTAGGCAAGCACCAGCAACAGACCACGTACGGACAAAGTGGTCGTATTGAGCATCAACATCCTCTGTCCAAGATGCCGTGCGGAGCTCTCGGAGAGCGGCCAACTGTTTCGATCGCGGCTCGCCAGCAGGTGCGGGTTGTGGCCGAGACGCTGCCTTGAACGGTTGAAAATAGCGGTCTGCCTTCAGCCTGCGGCCAAAGTGGGCAGCAACATACACTGGCGTATGATCATCCTTAGTCTGAAGGGCCTCAAAGCCCAGGAGTGTGCGGGTCTGAATCTCAAAAGAGCGCCACGACTGTGGAAGCACAACATAGTCAATACGGTGAAGGCTGCCATTGGTCCCGCACCATGTCGTGCCGGGTCCGGACTGGAAGTCCGAAAAGGTAGCTGGGAGGAAGCCATCCAATGCCAGGACGAAGTCATGGAACAAAGCTCCCGCGAGAGTTTCGGGTTCCGCTTGATGCGAACCGATAGCCGCAGAAACCAGATCCCCTAAACGGGCGTTGGAGTCAACCAGAAGAAGGTAGTCCATACCTGGTGGCCTGCGTTGAATCTCGCAGAGGCGATCCCTCCAAAAGGCAGCAACTTCGGTCTCGGTATGATTGGCAAGCGAAGGGCCGTGCAATACAGACACGAACAACCGCAAAAAAGGCGCTTCCAGGCACACATGAAGGTGTCTGTGGGAGTACCCGGTCACGGTCGCATGAACCTCCCGGAAGAAGAGGGGCTTACCCTGATGGAAGCCGTAAGGCCGGTGTCTCGCAATCCAAAGGGCACAACCCCCGACCCCCTGTTCTGTGGCCCCCGCCTGGAGCATAATGTAGTGACAGTCGGGTAACACCGCCGTCTCAGGCAGCCGTGTTTCCTGTATCCCGACCAGCAAAGGAGTGTACTTTTCGAGCTCTCGCATTAGGACCGCGCGCCGGCCCGCAATGCGGAGACCAACCGCCTCAGCAGTCGGCTGGCCCCTGCCGCGCTTGTCTTTGAGCGTCAGGGCATTGTAAGAGATCGCAATGATCTCAACTCGGACCAGACCTGCCTCTGTACGAACCTCCCGCTGCCCATACCTGTGGAAAACCTTTGGCAGGTGCGGGGAGCTTTGAAGCCTATAGGATTCGCTTTCCATGGCAAATAGGGCTGGCAGATCGTGTGAGGTAGAAGCCAGCATCCAAGTCCAGGCGGCCAGAGGATGCCTAGTAAGTCTGGCAAGCCATTGCGGCAGGCAGCGCTCCCAAATGGAATCAGGAGCTCGTCTGGCACACTTGGCCTGCTGGTCAACGAGCTCATTGGGCACACAACCTGTATGACTCTTGATGTGGGCGTGGGAGACATTTGAAAGCTGGTCTGCATACTGCCTCAAGTGACCGGCAAAGACGGAAAGAGCCGGGACCTCTGACAGCGCCTCACAGTCTACGGCCCTATGTTCCCCAAACACCCCAAGACCAACACTGGTGGCATCGTAGTGAAAACACAGCGATTGGCTAAGGGCCGGAGCATACTGTACCGTCCATGCAAGAGCCCAGATAAGAGCCAGCAGTTCGGCCTGCACTGGCGTATCCGTCGTCTCTCCAACATGGTACGGAGTGTCAGGAGGGACGGCACATCCCGAGGCCCCGCCATAGTAAAACAATCCGGATGGCATCTCACACCAGACACCGAAGACCCAGGATGCTGGCGAAATGTCATGTGTAGCAACGGCGGCTGAGCCATCTGTGTAAATGTGGAGATTGCTGATGGCAGCATCTGGAGTGCAGCAAGTGTGCCAAAGCTGAATCTGGGAGAAGGCCTCTCTGAGTGAAGTCGGAACTTGCGTGTCAACAATTAGTGCCGATAAATCGTTGTCAAGCCAATCATTGGCAACTTCCAATGTGCCAACCGTCGGCACCGGCACAACGGACCGCAAATCCAAACATTGGCGCTGGAATGCAGAGAGAGGAATCGATTCTGATAAAGAAATGAGAGGGCGTTGGGAAGAAGGACTGGGAATATCAGTGACCTCTGGATCTCTCCGGTAGCCGTGTCCAAAATGGTCGACTAGGACCTCAACGAGGGTGCATGCTTCGAAAAACCCTGTGAAGCCAGGCTGAGAGACAGAGACCTCCAGCAGGGTAGGCCCCAAATGCGATTGGAAAGGGGCCTGATCGGTCCCGCTGGTTACTTCCCCGGGATGATATGGCTCATTGGCCTCGCCGACCCTGGCGCGCTCAGGCGCCCGACAAGGTGTAGGGAGGGGCCGTGGTTGCAAGCCTGAGGCCTCCTTGGCTGTGAGCTGCCCCTGAGGGCGGTCAATGCTGGTTGGGCAGATAGCATCCGCGAGGACAGGGGTGTCCCTCTGGGGCCCCGGTGTAAGGGCGTCGTCTGAATGACCAAAGGCACACTTGACTACTCTAGCGGAGGCATGATCTGCTGCAGCAATCCCTGGAAAAGGGCCGCCATCACTGATGGAGGACACATCAGAGGGAAGCCGTTCTTCAAAAGAAAGGGAAGGCGAAGAGAGCTGCATGGCTTTCATACCAGGTAGGGACCCAAAGACGCCTAGACAGGCTACAAACATGCCTCGAAGGACAGGTCCTTGTTTCGAAGGGCGAAAGGCCCGGGACCCGGAAGAAACGCGGGCATAAGCTTGCCGTCCTGTGTCCGGAATTGCGCCGGCTGGTGCTCCGTGTCCCCCGCCGCCTGCCTGAGCATCTGAAGCATGGAGGGCCAATGGGGCCCCGCCTCGTGCATCCAAAGCTGCAACAGCCGCTGGAGGGGATCTAGAGCCCGGACGGGGAACATCATCTTCTTCCTCGGGATCCGGGGGAACTCTGGGAGACAAACCCCCAACTGGTGCAGCAAAAAGTCGCGCGACCAGGACTGTGCCATCGGCGACAGGGACACGATCAACAACTGGGTCAATACGTCTGTCCCCCTCAAAGAGGGCAATGCTCCATCCTGGCGGGGAGAGTGAACGGATATGACGGAGCAGGGATCTTTGTGAAAGGAATCCCGTACTGGCGAACTGCCAGGTAATCCCATACATGAGTGCCCGCAAATCAAGAAAGCAAACAGGTTGCTGTGGCTGATTGCTTGGTCCCGCACGATGCTCCAGGGCCAGAACAACAACATTGGTAAGAAGTCCCCCTGCAGCATGGTCACGGATATGGGGCCTAGCTACCAGCAACCGCATGCTGTCAGGGGCGCAACCCAAATGTCTTGCGATGTCAGTCCTGACCTGTCGGGAGCGGTCTGCTTGAACCGAATGTCGGAAAGGCACTGAGTGGGTCAAAACCCACATGTGTTGGCCATGAATGCCTGGCACATCCGGTGTTAAGACCCATCCTTGCGCAGAGAGCAGCATGTCTGCCAAACTTGTGAGCACAAGCACCGGATGGTCAACTGGGGCAAAGAGCACAAGGTCACCAGTCTGCAATTGCACCTCAACATCTGGTGCGAGGGGCCAAGGCATATCCCCGATGTAAACCAGAATGTGTTGGGTCCGCTCAATTTGTGCAGTCTCAAAAAGAGAAGCAAGATTCGTCGTTTCTGCGACAAGCGCTGTGAAGAAAGTGCGACCATTGAGCCTGCTGGTATCCAAGACCACTAAGCAACCAGGGGTGCGCCAGACCGGCAAGGCCACAAGGAGGGCATATCCTGGGCAAATTTGGGGATGCACCGGAACTAGCTGCGGGAAGATCTGCCTGTCTGCACGGAGCCTGGCCTCAGAAACAGCAGTGAGGGCTTCATCGAGGTCACATGGTGCCGTCAGGCGAACAGTCAGAAGCTCGGGCCAGTAGTCGTGATTGAGGACAACAAAATTGGCTCTAAAAGGCACCATCGCTTGTAGAGCCTCCTGACCGTCTTGCGGGACGGGCTGAGTCAGCTGGGGCGGCCGACCACCTGGCATGCCCGGATCCTCCTGTAGGGCTCGCGCAAGCCTGTCGGTTGCCGCTTCCTGTGTGCCTCCGGTTGACGAGGCATGAGCCATATCCGGCCGCAAACGTGAGGCCCACGCTACATCGAGCGGTGCTGTCCCAGTACGGGCAAGATTGCGCGCTCTATGCCTGGAGTTGTCTCGCTTGCGCATTAGAACAACTGATTTGAGCGGGAAGGAAAGAGAGGAGAAACAGCCGGGTGCACGAAAATCATGTACCACATGGAGGCAAGAATCAAGGGCCTCTGGTGCCGGAAACAAGAATGCACACTTGGTGGAGAGAAGGGCTGCCAAGCGGTTCTGCTCCGCATCAGATGCACGATGCGTGGTAACTCGATCACGGGATCTGCTCCTCGGCTCTCTGCCGATGGTGCGGGGTGGATCCGAGCGGTCCTCCGAGTGTGCGTCACTGTCTGCATCCATCTGGCCAACACTGGCCGCTGAGTTGTCCGCCTGGGCCTCAGGTGGCGGAGACTCCGGAACAAACTGAACAAGGAGAACCTGGCCCGGTACCACAAGAAGTTGATCCCCTTCGAGGAAGGCACCCTCTACCTGAACCTGATGCTCAGCCGGCGCCCAAAGCTCATAATGTTCGACAATCTCAGTATGCGAACAATCCTGCTCCGTGACAACCCATTGTTCGAAGCCCATAAGGATAGGCCGGCAGTCCATAATGATGGTAAAAACATTAGGACCCAGCCTACGAGGTGGGACAGGAACATTAGGAATCCTGTCAGTGACGCTGACAACTCCTTTACAAAGTTTGCCATCAAGCACGGCGTCATGGACTGGGGGCCTTGCACACTGTATGGTCGACCAGTGAAGGGGCTGGCGCAGAGCATTAGCAACATCCAGTTGATGATGTGCATGTCTACCAGGCAGTAAGGTAAAGCTCTGGAACCCATTTTCATGGACCAGGCAGACTTGCTGGGCCCGATTCCTGTCACCTTCCAGAGGCAGTGGGGCATCCTCGTTCCACTGTGCCAGATTGACAAGCATGGAGGGGAGGTCGATGGAATCTGGGACCGCTGCTGCCGGTCTGCAAAAGCAGATGACTCCATAGGACTCCAGGGTAAGATCCTCATGGTCGGCAAGCGGGTGGCCCGACCCAAAAGCATAGACATCGCAAGGAAAGTCTGGCTCGAACCCAAAACGATCCAAGAGCTCGGCACGACTAGTTTGCCGCGGCAAATCGGCAACAAAGAGCCGATCATCAATTGGCCTGAGGTCAATGACGCAAAGAGGCTCATTCTGAGCCCAAGCTGGCAGGGCGAAGATCAGGCCCCAATGAGGCGAGACTTGTTGGCGTGCCGGAACCAGCTGAGAAAACCTGCGATAAAACTCATCATCTGTCGCCTGAGTGATGGCATCCAAAGCCGCCTGTGTAGTAGCTGGTCGTCGCAAACGTACAGTCACACGTTGTGAGGAGTGATGCCTGGCGACGAGCAAAAAGTTGGCAACGTATGTAGGAGCCTGATCAGAGACCTCTGAAGTTGTGTCAAGTTCAGAGTCGACCGCATTGTCATCGGCTGCAGGGGTAGGGGCAAGCATAGCTCGAGCAACAGAAGGCTCGCCGCAGCTAATCGCCTCTTCGATAGCCGAAGCGATGTGGGGCACCCAAGAAGGCCGTCCCTCGGGCGAAATGCGGGAGGCGTCATCCAAGTTACGCCAAGTAACCTCAACCAGACAACAGGCCAAGGAGGCAGGCTCGGCAGCCGTGATAACCTTGCAATTCAGGTTTTGTGCAAATGACTCTGGCACGCAAAGACATGCAGCAAGCTGCGACGCTCCAAAAGTGGAGGATGTCGTATATCTGACTTGCAGACCCCCACCGATAGGCCTGGCATCAAGCACCACAGCAAAAGGCAGTGTGCCAAAAGAAGCCTGGAAGGCATCGAGAGAGGCTGCAAGAATCAAGCAGTGACAAGGCTCTCCCTGAACGTCAAGGTCGGAGAGTCCCGCAATTGTACGGAGATACATGTCCTGTTCCGAGACTCCAAGAAGCTGGCTAAGTCTCACGGACACATTGGTGCCATCCAGGTGCCTGGCTGCAAATGGGTGAACCGATCCCAAAAAGTGGGCGGCCAAGCCAGGCGAAAAGCCATCGGTGGAGACCTGGTGCAGCATCGTCCACAGGGCGCCTTCAACGAACAATGAGGCAATGGAAAGCGGTGGCTCTGGGGTGTACCCAGCAGGCAGCACAACAACTGTATCCCCATGTTCAAGGTCGATAGTGTCACCCGGGTTCACCCTGACGCATTGCGGCCCTGCCCAGAAGCACAGTCCAGCGGGTTCACCATCCGCAATGTCCGTTACATGACGGCACAGGAGCTCCCACTCACAGGGGCTCGGCAGAATGTCGGCGAAGTAATGTCCATGTGCCCTGGACATGTCCAGGATAATCGCCTTTTTTCCAAGATGATCTAGGCATTTGGGATAGGCGATGAACTGCGCAGTACCTGCAAGCCGCTGGGGTTTGATGGGAGCAAGGCCCTCAAGGTGATCATGATATGCAGCGTAGTGTCTGCTGACTCTGTGCATGGTGGCAACTATTGTCGGGTGTGGACCAACCTTAAGGCCAAAACACAGAGTGCGGTAGCCTGGGGAAAAGGTAAGCACACCTAGCCACTCCCGTGGCTGCGAATCGACAACTTGTCCCCGAGGCAGGGGTAGCTGCACTGTGTCAACATCAATTGGAGGGAGGTAGGTATGGTCGGAGGTGTCTTCACGAGTGCCGACCCGAATCCCATTATCTCCGACCAAGGGCGCGAGGGGCTCTGGCAAGCCTGCAATGATGCGTTCAGCAGAGGCAAGTGCTGTGATAAGACCTGGCGGAGCCGCAAAGACCTGAACCGGCAGACTGGCAACAGCAAAGAACCATGCTAAAGCCCTGCCTAGCTTACCGAAGGTAAGGGCCCGCCGTCGTCGGCGCAGTCGAGGCTTGTTATCCCACCCGAGGATGGGTGTGGTTGAACCGATCCTGCCCAGGGGAGAAGCGCCTGGGCACGGGGGGATGAACCGAAGGAGGCAGAGGCGACCAACCGGCGACCTGTGAAAGCCTAACTGGTATAGGAGCAGCCGGACAAGGACAACCTGTAAGATCGCCAGGGGGAATAATAGGATGGCCCGAGATTGGCCAAGCATCCATTCCAATAGGGCAGCAGAACAAAGCGTGTCCCGTCTGCAGCGCTGCTCATCCCCATAAACAGCGGAAAAAGACCCTCCTCCAGTGGCCTGTGTCCCTGAGCCACCGATACACATGTTGGGCGCACACTGGGGAGGGCAGAGGAAAAATATCCGTAAGTGGGCCTCTATGGGAGAACCCAAGCAACAACCAGAAGGAAGCACCGACAAGGGTGCGTGAAAGCACGGGGCAAGTACCCATAACCAAGGGATACCAAAACTGCCCGTCCGAAGGCGAAACAAGGGTGTGGACCCTGAAAGCGGCCTAGACCTGTGTGCAACATGGGCCTCCGTCCCTGAGCCACCGATACGGATGTTGGGCGCACCATGCTCCAAAAGAAAAAGCCAGATAAACAAATGCTGGCGTGCCACACCTTCTTCTTCGGGGTATGGAAGAAATACCTTCTGATGGGCCTGCGACCCGAGCTGCGAGGGGAAGCATTGGATCTCAAAAGCCCAATGAGACCAATGGCTCCGCGAGGAAGAGAGGAGCGGACCGCCGTCAGGACCGAGACAAGCCATGTCCCCGCCCGACAGAGGAGCTCCAGCGAGGTAGACCCCAAAGACCGAAAGGGGGAGTCTTTCGCAAAAGGGTAATTCATCAGCATCCTGGATCGGGAAGCCATCAAGGGCCTCGAGGAAGGCAAAGGAAGAACCCGCAAGGCTGAGCACAGAGGGAAACCATACCTGTACAAACTGTACATGACAAGAAGGGTCTCTCACTGCCCACTCAAGGCAAAGCGAAGGGACTGAGGATCCCCCGAAGCACAAAGAAGGGCTTTGCCCGACGGAGTACTGGTACACTGCCAACCGCAATGCACCCGAAGGTGCTGCCGTCGACGAGTCCCTCAGCTCCACCAGGCAGCACACTCCTTCCGCTCTGAGGAACCTCCTCCCTCGCTTTGCGAAGCCGCAGCCAGAAATCATCCAAGTTTTCCCAGCCCTGGGGACTGTATTCCGTCCTGAAACTCCTCGTCTTCCATGCCCGATGCCTCGCGGGCTTCCTCGTCCAACGACACTGTCGGAACTCCAGCCGGCACTCCATCCGGAGCAGGCGTCGCATGAGGCTGCACCGGATGGCGATTGCCCGCCCCCCCAAAAGGAAGGAGTGGGTGAGCTGGGTCCATCGCCCTTCTCACAGCCAGCTTGTCTGCCAGCGGTACATGAAGCTGACCAACCTCCGGTCCATGCTTCGTGGCCGATTTGACGTCTTGTCTGGGAGCTTCCACTGTAGTCGGGACCCTTGCCGCAGATGGCACGCGCTGACCTGGGTGGGAAGGCGAAGCGGCCAGCTCGACTTTCTGGCTCGGACAGGGATGCATAAAAGAGGCCTGAGGGGCCTCTTTGTGTACCACCAAGGAGGGGGTAGGCGCCGTACTCGCAGTAGTGGGCAGCACAACCCCCGCCGTAGAAGGCTGTGGATGCTCTGCAGCTGTAGGCAAGTTGCCCGGTGTCATACTCGCAGTCGCCATGGAAGAGCCAAAGGAGATGAGCATACGCTGAATCTCTGGGCTCAGCTGCCTGAGTACTTCCGGAGCCGAAGCGCGCGGGGCAGCAAGAGCAGTCTGGAGGACCCTCTCCAGGGTGGAGCCCTCCTCTTGTTCCCAGCCTGAGCGAAGGCGTGCCCACTCCTCTTCCGCCTCTGCCTGCTCCATGGCAACATCCGGGGCATCGTTCCTGCGCATGAAGGCGTTCTGGATGGCCTCGTAGGACTTGGTCTGCTCCGAGGTCGCCTCGTCGATGTCCCTGTCTCGGCGGGCGACGTCCTTGGAGTACCGCGCCCTCTCTCGTAGGAAGGACTCCTCCAGGCCTTTCTGGAAAGTCGTCCACTGTTCTGCTGCCTTGTCTTTGGCTGCTAAGAGCTTCTGAAGCTTCACTTCCGCCTTGCGGGCCGTATTCAACAGCCCTTGAAGGCCCTGAGCGCGACCAAACTGTGGAGCGGCCTGTTCCGTTGTACTCGTCTGATGTCGCTGCTCCCTGGTAGGCTGGGGCATCGTCGTATACGAAGGGAAAGCCGGTGCCTGTGCAGACTGCTGTCGCCATGGACGACTCTGCTGCTCCGCCCGTAGTTGCGGCGACCATGCCCCACGCCACAAGTGTCCCCAGTCTTGACCATCGTTTTTCCATGGCTGCTTATTCTTGGCTCCTCGGCCCATTCCACGGAGGACTCCAAGAACAACTATACGTTGACTGGCAGGGGTCGCGTGGTGGGCTCCGAGGGAAACCAGTCGCTGTCCGGACACGGACCGACCCAACCTTAGTTGCTTCCTGGTGCCCGAGCGCCGATGCCTCTGCCTTCGGTGCCAGGTAGGGGAGCTGTAACACGTCGTGTCGCTCGAACCCTAGGCTCCTCGACGCACCTCTTGGTGCTGGGGCTACCGGTTTTCCTACCTAGCAAGGCCTGCTGGTAGGCCATCCGAGCCCTACTACTGCTATTACTAATTATTTCTATCACTGTTGCTATTGCTATTGCTGTTACCATTACCGTTACTATTACCATTACGACTACTATGACTATTGCCAGCAGTATCACTGTCACTATCACGATTACTACTACTTTAGTATCACCAGTTCTATGACTACTACTATTTCTATTACTACTGTTGTTACTACTATTTCTTTTCGCACTGTAATTGCTGTTTCACTTTTGCTACTACTCAGTATTATTGTAGTATTCTTGCTGTTCTTGCTATATTCACTCTTGATACTATTATTGTCGTTATTAGTATTTTTCGCGCTTTTATGGTGATCATTGTTGTTACGCATCACTATCCAAGGCCGCTGCCTCGTCCACGTCAAGCGCCTGCAGACATGGGGCGAGGCGGGGACTCAAGTCGTTGCTCGATGCCTCAATGCCTGAGCCCAAGCGAAACGGCTAAGGGCCTTTTGGGCTTAGGGCTTAGGGCTTAGGGCCCCTCTTCAGAAAGCTTCTGCTATCTTGCCTGAGCAATCCAAACCGAAAACTGGTGGAGAGTCTCAGTGGCGAGCCTCTTCTTCCATACCTTACAAAGCACAAGCACGCTTTGTAGTGGAACCGATCCTCAGCCCCCGCACACTCCCTTCCTGCCTTCCCTCCTTTCCTGTCTGGTCTCCTCCCGATCCTTCTCCTCGCCCACCTTCCGCTCGTAACCACAACCTGGCCGATGCCCTTACAGCAGCCCGACTGAGCTATCCTCACGATCAGCTGCCTCGCCCGCCCATCCAAACCAGTGCCGTTACAAATAAGATACGATATACATTTTGTGCGACACTGCTACATACATACATGCAGACACACGTTCCCTGACTGAGTACGGATGTTGTTGATGCTTGTCGTTAAATCCATTTCTTCAGCCGCTTGCATGGAACAGGGCTTTTCCGGTGGTAATCGATGCTGCACTACCGATACATTGCACCGGTGTCGTATGCGTTGCCCTGTATTCTCTCATAGTGATTGGTACATGGTGGTTGTTTGTCATTTGTGCTCTTGACCTAAACTCTACATTATGAGGGGATACCAAACCGTGTGTGTGCATTGCCGCTGCGACTTCATTCATTGTACGTATATGTACAGACACAGGCATATATATATATATAAACGGTATATGTACATTTGCTGCATTTACCTTGTTGTTTTGGCTTTTGACCCATCTATTCATTTGTATACTATTCGGTTCGCTTTTTCTTTACTAGCCATTATGCAACCCTGTGGTGCATGCAAGCAGTAAGACATAAGCAAACAGTTAGCATACACGAGAGAACCACGGAGGTCGACAGGTCAAACCGGGAAGATCGGCACAAGCCAAAGACATAGATACTTACTATGTACACATATCTGTCTTCTTAATCTGAACACGTACGTACCAGATAGGTGCATGCAAGTCTACGGTATGCACCTACAATATCAACACCGGAGATACTGGGGCGCATGCTGATCTTGGGCCGGGCTCATGCTGTGCGCCGGTCGGTGGCCCATCACAGCGCAGCCCGAGTAGGAGTGCTTGGCTTGGAGAGTTTTGGGGCTTTGGCTGCTGCCAGGTCGGGAGCTTGGGAAAGCTTACGATGTAGGAAAGAGGACGCTGATAAAGGAGAAGCAGCAATAAAAAGATCTGGCAACTGATGAAACTGGCTTGGAGGCCTCTGATCTATAAGGCATCTGATACAACATGCCATGCTGCACATGGACGACTCAAGAGCCTCAGCATGCACTTCCGAAGATTTCAACGCTTGAGAGTCACACGGCGTCTTAGGAACTCCTCGCACCTCACTTTTGGCTGAATGTGTACCTACCTGCATCCGAAGCCGTCTGCCGCAGCTGGGGAGCCGCGGCCTATTCAGTCGAGCTGGATCTCAGCAAAGGTGGCACCTGAAAGGATGGCCTTGGCCTTCTTCACGGAGTCCATCTCCTCGCTGCGTGCCGCTTGTCGGGCTTCGAAGTTCTGCATCAAAAAGTCGCAGCTCTCGTGCAGTCCGGCCTTGGTGTTCGCCAAGTTTTCGAGGGCATCCTCTGCACCCTCCCGGCCCTGACGGGTCTGAACCAGGGTCTTCTCCAGGCGGGCCTTCTCGGCCTTCTTCTCTGAGATGAAGGCCTCCTTCTTCTCCACGGATGCAGCGGTATCAGCGGAGAAGGCCTCGTAGGCCTTCTGCGCGCTCTTCTCCGCGCGCAGGGACTCCGCCTCCATGGCCTTGGAGTCGGCGATGAGCTTCTGCAGCATGGAGAGAACACCGAAGCTCTTCTCGTTCCCCTTGTAGTCCTTGAAGCCGTCTGGGGACTCCGGCCCTGCACGGGCCGCATGGGCCGCATGGACCTGGATCAGCGCTTCCTTCTTGTAGAACTTCCCAAGAACCTCCAAAGCATCCTTCAGCAGCTTCTGGGTCTTTCGCTGATCTTCGACCACTTGCTGGAATTCCTCGTTCTCCTTCTCGCGGTTCTCGCCTGCCAGCTTCAGCTGCTTCTGCATCTCAGCCACCTCGCCCTCCAGTGTCTCCATCTCGCTCTGCGGCTTCTTCACGTCGATGGCCTGCTCCTTGGCAAGGAGAGAGGTCTTCAGCCGCGTCTTCTCGGCGGTCTCGACTCCATTCTCTTGGAACTCCTGAACGCAGAAGTCCTTTTGCTTCACCTCGTCTTCCTGCTCCTTCGTCAGGGTGAAGACCATGTCGTCCATGGCCTTCTTCACCTGAACAGCGTCAGACAGGGCAGGGCGGGGAGGGCCTTGGAACCGTACTGTGGACACTTGGTGACCGTTCGAAAGTGTCCGTCCTTGGTGAACTTGTCGATCTTGGTCTGCATGGCCAGCGCGGCCAAGCGCGGATCGCTGTGTGCTGCCTGGGCGAGGACCCGGGCAGCGGAGGCGGCCTTCCCTTCAGGCTCCGACTTCGCGGTGTGTTGGAGGAAGGAGAAAGTTTTCTTGAAGTTGGCGTGGGCGTCCTCGGCGTCCAAGATCTCAATAGCCTTCGAGATGCCCTCGGCCTCCTCGGCACGGATCTTCTGGCGCTCGTCCCATTCAGCGTCCATCTCGGCACACTGCTTCTTCACATCATCCACGAAGGACAAGTCGGCACCCATCAGCGCCTCGGTGTCCTTGATCGCCCGCTTCTTCTGGGCGTGCTCTTCATTGGCATCGGCGCGCTCCCCCTTCCTTGGTCAAAGAAGATTATACGACGACGACTACGACTCGGGACTAGGACGTGACTAGGACAGAGCTTGCAAGTTGGTGGGCTTTTTGCCGGGCGTCTTTGCCTCGACCATGGCCGTGCCGGCCTTGATCTCGGCGCTTTTGGCGGCCGAAAGCTCCGTGAACTGCGCCAGCGACGTCTCCTCGTCTTCTTTCAAAGTGACCAGCTCCTGCGAGAAATCGTCCACCAGGCCATCCAGGACACCCTTCACGCCATCAAAGCCGTCACCTCGCTGCAAGAAGGAGTTCAGGGTCTCCCGGTCCTCCCTGCTCAGCTTGGTGGAGTGATCCTTCATCAGCTGCTGCAGCACCGGCCGCACCACACCGGACTTTGACTGGAGGAAAGCGCCCGCTTCGGGGCTGCTGATGGCGGACTGGGCACTCCTGGCTCACGCGCTGGCACAATGCCACACTGGGAGCGTAACAGCGACGAAACACACATGAAGGAAAACCCCCAGGAACAGATGCTTAAAATGTCAGCTTGGGTTCTTGACGCCGGAAAGGTCACCTTCAAGGCGCTCGCGATCGTCCAAGTACTCCTTGTTTTGCTGCTTCCGCAACTCTGTGGCGGTGTCGAGGGCCGCTTCGTTCTTGGCCACTTCGTCCTCCGCCTTCTCGATCTCTCCCTTGAGGAGCTCGCTTTGGGCGGCGAGTTCCTCAACACGTGCCTTCAGCTGGCGAGCCGTGGTCTCTGCCTCTGCAGCGGCCTTGGTCTTGGCATCCGTGTTCTCGTGACACCAACACTTGAACTTGTCATAAGTCTCCTCGTCGGCTTTGCTTTCGCTTTCCACAGTCTCCTGACAATGCTGACATTCAGTTCTTCCCTACAGTGACAGTCCCACACATTCCCTCACACCAGCTGGATGATATTGCAGTTTGCACCCCACCTGCATTGTTTTTAGCAGCTTTACCACCTTTGTCGTGGGGCGCTCTGCATCGTCAGATTGCAAGGTGATGGCCGCAGCTAGCCCCAGCCATGCCAAACAAAGCAGTCCAACCTTCATTGTGCTCGGAACGGTAGCCCGAAGCTTGTAATTAAAGCCTGGGCCGAAAAGAATGATTTCAACCACATTTGGGTTATGACGGACGGGACTGCTATACCTTGTAAAGCACAAGTTGAAGGAATCGGAAACTTGTTCGACTTCAAAAAACTTGCGACGTGAAACTTTCCATCAGACCCGTGCATTTCGCGGGAAGAGAACACAGTTATGGTGCTCAGGAAAAATGTGACCTCAATCAATCCTGTGGCGTCGGCGTGGTGCCGGTGTAGGCTGCTTTGCAGCTGGTTCGGTTTAGGCTTCCGTTTCCTACCGGGTTAACCTAAGACGGGGCAGGACTTAAACAGCAAGCAGCGGTCAGCCCCCCCCCCTTTTTTGTCCGTTGGCGAAAACCGTCCAGTTGTCGGGAAGCCGGTCCAGTATTCGGACCGGTCGGAAACCGGCAGCTACTGTCAGACCGGCTACCTGAAATCGGTCGGTGGAAGTTCCAACCGGAAGTCCAAC